CTTAGGAATTAGAATAAGGTTGATAAATTCTGCGCTCAAGGTGAGTCGTAGCAGCCGTGTATGTAGCAAACTTGGGAAAGATAAAGTAATAAATTTATCCAGTATAAATCTCGAGTATAATGTGGAACTTTTATTGGAAAGAGGATTGAATTTTGCTCTTCCAAATGAGATGAATCATTCTCTGGACATACTTGTTGAATAAATTAATTTACCTGAGAGATTGCCCGAAGAGGTAAGGAGGAGCTCGAGGTGATCCCTTATTTTGACTATATAATTCTGTCAAAGAAAGCTTGTTCTCTGAATAGGGTTTCTGGATAAGTATATGGTAGTAATCTAATCGTTTTGAAAGCTGAAAGGTGGAGCAATGGTAGTCATGGCTAGGCCAAACGTTTATGACCCTAGACTGAAAGGTTATGACAAGTGGTTTCTTAACCTGACTTACATGCTTACAAGCTCAAATCTCATTATCTAAACCATACTTGCTTAAGGACTAATGCAGTCTCGGTCAGGGCTCTCCATTGTGTCATTAGGCCTTGATGATCATAGCCTGACATTTGCCTTTTGATCACTCTGATTTAGTACCGGTATTGTGTATTGAAGTTAAGGTACACACGCGCACACAAAGACACTCGAACAAAAGTAGCAGGACCAAAATGAACTATAATTAGTCAAACCATTATATATCTAGGTTTTTTTAATTTTCTTTTGCTTAATTGAGTCTATATAATAGGTAAGATAGAGCCTAAAAGTCTTCTTGCCCTAGTTCTAACTTAAGAATTCTACAAGAATTAGTTCCAGCTCTGATAAAGTCCATCATATGATGGATAAAAGCTCAGCCCGTTTTCACCCGAAAGGCGGGAGATCTGTGTCTACCTGAACGTCGTATAAAGGTCAAATGGCTGCAGTACAAAGGGATTTAGCCGTTACTTTCAAGTGAGATCGACCTACGAATCTCTTTTACCATAAGGAATGAGAGTCCCCCCAATATTGTTTAACATAGTATAGAAGTTGTTTGACCTTCTTTTCGCAACTCGGTCATACTGGTAGGAAGACTTAGAGGAACGCACCTTGTCCGGAGTCCATTGTATGCATAATCATTTCCAAAGTGGGACCGTGGACGTGGTACATTCCCAGACGTTTCGCCGGAATCGTCAGTGAGTTTTGCCATTCGTAGCACCAATTCGTCAGAGACAAATGAAGCCGATCCTTTGACCAAACGTGTACTAAACAGTTATGTTATCTCCCCTTCTGCCCTGGCCTATTCGCATTTCCTATATCGTCCAATCACGCCTTCACTGTCACTGTCACTGTTACTTGCTTAATTAAATGTGGTACGGTGTGTCTTTTTAAGCGGCTTTCATGAGAACCTACCGCACTCTATGATGGCCTTCTCACCCTAATTCATCCTTGTGTTGGTAATGTTTATCAGAGTCTGCCATATTATTACGCAGTCTCCCTTCCCTAAGTCTTATCACAGTCTCTCTCTTGCCCCGTAAGATCAGTCTTTCCTCTCCCTGGTTCACATATTTCACTCAACCCCTGCCATCCCATCTGTGCCACTCAAGGCGTTATTCGCCCTACTCTGAGCCTTGGGGACTAGAAACAGGATAGACGCGGCGGTGATGGGAGCTAGTGGGCTGACAGTAGGTTTAATAAGAGACGTAGTCCATGCGACAAAGGCCTGACCATGAGACTTACTCAGAGGTTTTAGCCTCGAATTAGTCACCCAGACGCAAAGGAGGTCGAATAACGCTTCGGGTGGCACAGATGGAATGGCAGGGGTCGAGTGAAATATGTGAACCAGGGAGAGAGCAGACGGATCTTACGGGCAAGAGAAAGACTGTGATAAGACATAGGGAAGAAGGACGGCGTAACAATATGGCAGACTCTGATCAACATTACCAGCACAAGGATGAAGAGCGGTGAGAAGGCCAGCGTGTAGTGTGGAGGGTTCTCATGAAAGCCGATTAAAAGGTCACACCGTACCAAATCTAATTGAGCAAGTAAAAATAATTGCGTGATAGGAGGATATAGAAAATGTGAATGGGCCGGGGT